ATTCCACACAAGGATGGACTACAAGTTGTCAGAAACAATATCCCTAATGAGACCACGGCACACCTGGTGGCTGAGCTTTGTGACTTTGTCCTCACCCACAACCATTTAAGATTTGGGGACAACTTCTACCTTCAAGTCAGTGGCATTGCTATGGGTACCCGCATGGCCCCACTGTATGCCAACACTTTTAAGGCTAACTTAGAACAATGCTTCCTCAGCTCTCGTCCCCTAGTGCCCCTCCTCTACATTGATGACATCTTCATCATATGGACCCACGGGAAGGAGGCCCTTGAAGAATTCCACCTGGATTTCAACAATTTCCACCCCAACATCAACCTCAGCCTGGACCAGTCCACACAAGAGATCCACTTCCTGGACACTACAGTGCAAATAAGTGATGGTCACATAAACACCACCCTATACCGGAAACCTACTGACCACTATACTTACCTACATGCCTCCAGCTTCCATCCAGGACACATCACATGATTCATCAGCCAAGCCCTAAGATACAACCACATTTGCTCCAATCCCTCAGACAGAGACAAACATCTACAAGATCTTTATCAAGTGTTCTTAAAACTACAATACCCACCCAGGGAAGTAAGGAAACAGATTGACTGAGTGAGACGGGCACCCAGAAGTCACCTGTTACAGGACAGGCCCAACAAGGAAAATAACAGAACACCACCGGCCACCACATACAGCCCCCAGCCAAAACCTCTCCAGCACATCATCAACGATCTACAACTTATCCTGGAAAACGATCCCTCACTCTCACATGTCTTGGGAGGCAGGCCAATCCTTGCTTACAGAAAGCCTCCCAACCTGAAGCAAATACTCACCAGCAACTACACACCACACCACAGAAACACTAACCCAGGAACCAATCCCTGTAACAAACCCCGTTGCCTACTTTGTCCCCATATCTACTCTAGCACCACCATCATAGGACCCAGCCACATCATCAGGGGCTCATTCACCTGCACATCTACTAATGTGACATATGCCATCATGTGCCAGCAATGCCCCTCTGCCATGTACATTGGCCAAACCAGACAGTCTGTACATAAAAGAATAAATGGACACAAATCAGACATCAGGAATGGTAACATAGAAAAGCCAGTAGGAGAACACTTCAATCTCAGATTTAAAAGTAGCCATACTTCAACAAAAAAACTTCAGAAACAGAAACTGCAGAGCTACAATTAATTTGCAAACTTAACACCATTAATTTGGGCTTGAATATGGACTGGGAGTGGTTGCCTCACTACAAAAGCAATTTTCCCTCTCTTGGTATTGACACCACCTCATCAGTTATTGGGAGTGGACCACATCCACCATGACTGAATTGGCCTCATCAACACTGGTTCTCCACTTGTAAGGTATCTCTCTTCTCTTCATGTGCCAGTATATTTATGTCTGTATCTGTAATTTTCACTTCATGCATCTGAAGAAGTGGGTTTTTTACCCACAAAAGCTTATGCCCAAATAAATCTGTTAGACTTTAAGGTGCCACCGGACTCCTCGTTGTTTTTGTGGATACAGACTAACATGGCTACCCCTCTGATTCTTAATTACACGATCACTTATTATATTTTCATACGACCCCTGCCTATCTGACTTACCTCTTCTAGATAGCATCGTCTTTCCCTGTGAATCTGTGGTTTTCCATGATGAAGGGTGTTTCGGGATCTTCATAGTGCCATGCTTTGCTCCCTCCAAACACAGACGCTGGTTTGAAGAAACCTTCTAATGCTCAGAGTGAAATTCCTCCTTGCGGAGGGGTCCACCACAAGGGGAACACAACACACGCAAGTCTCATTTAAACCCCAAGAGCCTGATTCACCATTGCCCTGCACCTTGCACAGTCTTTCACATTAGTGGAAAGCAATTGTAAGAAGCTGCCAGATCAAAATGGTGTCATTTTGTGCCCCCTCTGCACAGGTGTAAATAACTATGCACAGTGAAAGGCAATAGAAAAACCGTGTCTGAGTGTCTGATCCTACGCATTGAAGTTGACTTCAGTGGGTGAAGGATTGAGTCCTGCCAGCTTAAGTGGAACTCACATGGTTCATGGGCCTTGTGTAGGCTCTCTTTCAGGGTTGAATTTCAGCCAGACAGAGCAATATCTTGCTTGGATATGCACATGCGCAGACATACATGATTCCCGCAAAGCTGATGAAGTTATTCTGCAAGAGGAGGGTAGTTTAACTGCCTTATCTTCTACATGCCAGTTGCTAAATTATTCCCAGTGTGTTAAACAATGTAATTAAACACATACACGCACACTAAAAACCCTTGTTCTCCGTCAGAAGAGAGAGAGAGAGCGTGCGTCAGCCCCAGCCTTCAAGCTCTGTTAGTTTTAATTTGAGTTGTGGAATTAGTAATCAGTTTTGCTAGAACACTGTTGCGGGAAATAGATCTTAGCATGCACAAGGCCTAGGTACTGTTTCAAATGAGTATTTGTTAAGGAGAAACCATTCCCTGTCGTGTTATGGTACATTACATGAGATTTATTTCCATTGTATTGAAAAATGCAAGCCAAAAAGGAATGTTCTTTCTCTATGTCAGCTGAGGGCTATTTCTGAATTTCATCTGATTTCTTTGAAATGAAATTGCTTTTTTAAATTAAATAACAAGACAAGACAAGACACTCCTAGTCTTTCCAGGGGATTGTTAAATCCCTAAGAGGAAAGGACTTTAGCTACCTAGAAGGGCAATAATGCTCTCTAAAACATGGGGAAGCTATATTAGCAGTTTCAGTGAATCTAGATGAAGTTTTTAATAATCCTGTGTGAAATGTTCACAACAAAACCAGAAGCCAGGTTCTCATCTAAATATCAGTGCTTCTGCTCTCCTTACCCAGTGTTGGGAGTGTATCGACCAATAAAGATGATCATCTGATAATAGAAGTATCTTTCATCTAGCAAAAAAGGCATAACAAGATCCAGTGGTTGGAAGCCGAAGCCAGACAAATTCAGACTAGAAGTAAGATGCAGATTTTTAACAGTGAGGGTAATTAACCACTGGAACAAATTACCAAGGGAGATGGTAGATTCTCTGTCACCTGAAGTCTTTAAATCAGCCCTGGATGCCATTCTAAAATATATTCTATAGCTCTAACAGAAGTGCCAGACGTTGTGCAGGAATCACTTGGGTGAGGCCATTTGGCCTGTGTTATGCAGGATGTCAGAGTAGATAATCACAGTGGTCCCTTTTTGACCTCAAAATCTATGAACCATCTGCCCAAAGTGACCAGTGGGCTTAAAAAACAAAATGCTGTGAATGAAGATGGCTGGAATGGAATTCGAGGGAAGGTGGGTTGTGTTTGTTGAAAGGGATAGGACTCAAAGGAACGTTCGGTACTTTTAGAGAAGGGTGAAATGGCTTAGGTTAAAACCAGCATGACACGGGGGTTAAAATGTGACTCAGAAATATGTGGCTTGGGATAAAAAAGCCCTTGAGAGCCTTTGTGAAGCAAGGGGCTCTCAGTAGGTTTTATTCCTCTGAATGAGTGTTCTTTCAATAACAGAAGGCCCCAGGTGACAGTGTGTGAATGCATGTTTGTGCCCACATGTGGCTTTGAGAAGGCCATGAGACCGGTACAAACAAAAATCTTCACACTCCGCTTTTGTGCAGAATAACAAAGTCAGGAACCAATTGCTCTTTAAAACTCTGGCAAAGCCTTGGAGCCTTTGAAACCTCTGCCCCCTTCCTCCTCATCTCATGGCCGGATCAGGAATGGAGCTGGAAAATGATGCAGAAGACCCGGGAGGATACTTGTTTGTCTGAGCTCCCATATCGGTGGATTCAGGGCTGGTAATATAGAGGGTTCTTTTGAGGTGGCCCTCAACCTTTCTTCCCTATCATTCCTGACTGTTAGTGATGCTCTCGCAAGCTGTTCTACTTCTGTGCTCTTTGGCAATCCTAAGGGGGAAGGGGCCCGCAGCAAGAGTCACGTCTACTTAAATTCTTCACCAGCAGCGGTGCTCAGTGCTGCATCAGCCCAGAAGTAGACAGAATCCCTCTGTCTAGCCTCAGGACTAGTCATTTGCATGCATCTGGCACATGACTGCAACCAATGAGGAGTCTCACCCAGCTGTGTGAGGAAGCGCTTTTCCCAGCTGACAGCTGCTCTTTGCGCAGAAGGAAAGGCACTCCTAGTTGAGATGGACCCAAACAACATGAGAACACCCCCAAATCTGGGCAGGGCAGTGGGTTTCCAAATCTGGATATGACTCTAAACTTCACGCTAAACCCTAACTCAGCTCTCCAATTGAATCAATGGATCTAAATCCCTCAGACTTTGGAAGGTGTGGATGAAATGCAGATTTTGATCTAGGTCTGGATTTTTGCCTCCTAGTTGTTTGAGAAATTGATCCTAAGACACAGCCATCCCTGAGTCTTTCCATTAACATCAATGGACTTTGCACCAGACCCCAAGGCAGGGCAATGGCTGGAGGGGTGTTTGTCTTGGTTAGCACTCTCAGCAGCACCGTGAATGGTGGAGCCGTATGCATCTGAATGTGGACTAAGCCACCAAGCGTTCAAAAATGAGTCAAAGGAGCTCAGAAAATAAAAGTAAACTCTCACAAAAATACACCGTGCACAAAAGTAACCAACAGCGGAAAGTGTTTTTTGGGCCCACTACAAATGCCTTAGGTTACCATGGTTTCTCATGAAACACCCTTCCCTCCCCTCCCTTGTTGTCCAGCCCCCCACAACCCACCCACACACATACCCCATGTTCTTTTAGATTATCTATACAGTAGTTCAGTGTTTCCCAGACAGTTTGCTCTGCCTGTCTGCCAGGAAGACTTAGAATTGAATCTGAAGCAATGGCAGAGCTGGTTTAAGATAAACCAGGTGAGATTTTCTCTTTCCCCAGGCGTTTCCAGCTAGGAAGGATTTTGTCACAACTACCTCCGTCAGCCTTGTGAGTAGCTGCTCCAGAATCCGCTCTGGGCACTCCCTGTGTGCTTGGAGGGCAGTTAACAATAGCTGACACTCTTTCTCCTTCACAGGATAGAGACATGATGATGCCTGCCCCTGGCCCGTATCAGAAGCTAGAGCGAGGCTGGCAAACCAAGGGGAGGACTGGAAGCCTTCAGAGCCCCCAGAAATTTAACAATCAGGACTTCACCCACTTGAGAGACTACTGCCTGAGCCGAGGCCTGCTGTTTGAAGATGACACCTTCCCAGCACATGTCAGTTCCATTGGTCCCAATCTGCTCTCAGAAGACAAGCTGAGCCGCCTACAGTGGAAAAGACCAATGGTGAGTTCCTCCTGATGGCTTTCAATAGCAAAGCCGATTTCCTGAGTGTAAAATACAACAGCTTTGATTTGTCTCATGGTTGTTAGCTACATCCCTGCTTGGAGGGTTGTGCCCAGCTGTGCTGACCCGAGGGAAGCACTGGGAAGCATTGCGTCTTATGGACAGACCAAGGCTCCCAGGCCTGTGGGGAAGGGTGCCTGGTGTTACATCTCCATTAGAGGGTGAGGGGGTGAAACGTGTGTGCTTCTCCACTGGCCAGCGCACGGGGGCAATGAGCAGGAGAGCACAGGGACTGAGATCACAGCCAGCCCTTGTGAAAGGGCACTAAGGGAGGGTGTTCCTGGCATGTCCCTCCCCCCCCACACATACACCTGTGCAGGAATCAGCCACAATCTTGCCCTTAGTTTGAACCACTTCATTACAAGTATTTGTCCCAAAGCCCCATGGGATGGTGCCCTGCCGTCCTTTCAATTTATCCCACAACCTCTTCTCTGCCCTGAAAACCTCCCCGCCTGCTTTTAAATTAGTAGACGTCAATAGAAATCACTTAAGCTGAAGTTTTCATTTATTTAGGGTTGTTTTAAGTATATCGGATCAGGTCCTCCGCTGATGCAAATTGATGTGGCGCCACTGACTTCAGCTGAGCGACCCTTGATTACATCAGCTGAGATCTGGCTCACTTTTAAGGCACATATTCAGATCATTGGTCAGCTTGCTCCATCATTTCCCTAAAACCTTGAGGCAAAGCTTTGCAATCAGTCCTAGTTCTGCAAAGCCATGGGGCCAAATTCTGGGTACAACTCCACTGAAGTCATAGGGCCAGATGTAGGGAATGGTGTAAATTAGACCCTTCCCTTTCTCTTTAACCTAGATATCTATGCACTCAGACTCTCTTCAAACCTACTTCCACTTCTCCTACAGATGAGTAAGGAAGTCACCGGTGTTGTAAAGGGGTCTGAAACTGACAACATTTTAGGATTTGGCCCCTAGAATAACAGACTGTAGAAACGGAAACAGCCTGTTATCCACTCCCATCCCCATGCCAATTGCAGGATTGCCCCTACTTTCTAGTGCTTTGTCCAGCCTACTTTTTAAAAAAGTCCCAAGCAATGGGACTTTACCACTTCCCCAGGCCGGACTATTGTACACATCTTTCACTCACCCAGTAGAGCTGCACCTTCTTGCAGCACATGTGCCCCATGACTGTATTTTCTCAACCACTTTCCTTAGCTCCCCCTAACATTTAAAGTCTGGTTAGAAATCTGACTGCAAAGAAAAATAGCACCTTGGTCCTATTCGTCTCTCCTCATTCTGTATCTTCTGAGTCACATAATATCTGGTTATTTAAGGGACAGATCATTTTTACTGCTGTCAGTGTTCCAGATCCAATATAGCAGCTGAGGAGCAAGCTGCCTTCTATTTTACCCTGTGCATCATCAAGAGAATTGCCAATTACATTCAGAGTCTGGGATCTTTGTAGCTGGTGCTAATGTGCAAAGCAGAAAGAAAACAGCTTGATTTTCAGACACCAGGCAGTGGTGACAGTTAGAGACAACTTGTTTTGACTTCTAAAGTGAGCCAATTTGATATGGGAGTCCTTGAGGGGGAATAGATTAGGAGCACCACGATGTCATTTTTATTGTCGCTTTTCTTGATTATGTAGTAGCTGCACTTGAACAGTAGCTGTGAAGATTAAGGGCCATGTCTTCAGACCCAGCCTCTGGTTTTGTGCCCACAGAAAGGTGTGTGCTGTTATTTGCACCTTCAAAACTGTGTGTTCACATGTTCTACATGTGCAATTTCAAGCATTGTTGTTCTAAATAGGGGTGATTAACACTGAATTAGGCAGGGATCCTGTGGAAAAAATAATATGTGATTCTCATTACAGACTCTCTCATAATTACAGCTGGACAAAAAAAATTGGCCGAATATTTTATTCACCAAAAACGTAGTTTCAGATGAACCAAAATTATGAACCAATTCATGTTGAATTCGGCAAATAGTTTTGGCAGAACAAATAAATACAAAATTTTTAAAAGTTGGAATATTTCATTTTAATTTTTTTAAATGAAACATTTTGTTTTTTCATTTTCAGACAATGTTTCATTTTGAAATTTGCCTACATTTAATTGATCCCTCCCACAAAATCATTTTGGGTCAAACAAAGCATTTTGGCCAACTCCAAAATAATGTTGGGAGAGGGATCATTTTGCCAAAAAAAGGTTATTTCAGGTTAATCCAAAACAGTTTTTGTTTTGGTTCAGGCAACAAAATGAATGTTTACTTATTTGCACAGCTCTAAGCGTAATACATATGCACAAAGAGGCTAAATCAAGATTGCACAGGCAACTTTAATTCTGGCATTTTCTGATTTCTGAGTGCTTAACTTTGCAATCTTAAAAACATTCTTTTAATGTAGGGTGAGTGAGTGAGTGTGTGTGTGTGATCATTATACTGCAGTAGTGCCAGGATGCTGCAACAGAGATCAAGATCCCACTGTGCTAGGCACTGCACAAACACCTCACTAAAGTCCATCCTTGCCCAGAAGAGTATGCAATCTAAATAGAGAAGCCAGACAAAGGGCGGGTAGAGAAACTGAAGCACAGAGAAGTGAAGTGACTTGCCCAAGGGCACACAGCAAGTCTGTTGCAGAGCCAGAAAAGAACCCATGTATCCTGACTCTCAGGCAGAGCTTCTATTCACTGAAGAATGCTGCCTCTCCATTAGTATGTATCACTTGTATTGTAGCCAGCCCTTGAGGCCACATTCAGAATCAGGGCCCTCCTGTGCTAGGCATTGTGCAAACACATTTAAAGGCAATCCTTGCACTGAAAGAGCAATCTAATAGTCAGTTTAACTCAGGTTGAGTAGCACATTGTCCCACTGTTCACGAAGGAAGGCGCCATGCAGCATGAGTTAGGGCATTGGAGTTTGGCCCTACTGTGAGATAGGACGCAGCAAGTGGGTGTGCCAGGCAGCTGGAAGGGCTGTCTGGATGACTCAGGGTGGCAGCGAGAGACGTATGTGGTTATCAATACTAGCTCTGTGATGATTAGTAGGTTTCAGGTAAAAAGAATCATTTAAAATGGGTGACTCGGGTTTTCTCTGGTCACACCATCCCAGCCTCCAGATGGTGCTTGAGGCCCTTTGGGAACAAAGATTCCTATGGGCCTTCTCTCGTGTAACCTGCCTCCCTGTGCCAGAGGACCCCTGAAAGGGGGAGGTAGGGTCAAAGTGGGAACGGGTCACTCCTTGGCATGTAGCACAGAGAGAGCCCCCAGGCTGTAGGCTGACCCGGAGAAAGGCTGCAGAAGGAGAACGGAGGCAGAGGTGCTGCATTGTGCACACGGCCACACACCCAGGTCTCACTGATCCGTGGCTAACTGCTGCTACTATGCTGAGCACTGTGTAGGATGGGCCCAGCCCTGCTGCCTGCACAATGTAGCCTGTTAGTTTACGTTATTGATGATTTATTTCGCTCGTTGTGCATACAGGGCTTACCCACAGCGTTAGCTTTCCCACCCTCTTCCTAAATAAAGTGCCACCTTCGTTAAGAAACAATCTGCCCATTGATTTTTTTTTTTTTTTAATCAGAGTTCTGCACCGGGCACAGACATAATTTATTTCCTGGAATTTGCAGGTGGAGGCCTGAGCGGCTAGCTACATTCACACCCAGAGACCACGTCTACCACGGCCACAGTTCTAGTGCCTGTAAAATCAGATGGGTGCTACAAATAATGAAGCCGGCAATATTAATGTTCACAATCCCTATGACCACCTAGCAGCGTGCCCGTAGCTTTTGGGGGGCATTTATCCAGGCACAAAATCAAAGACTGGTTTGAAGCCACCTTAAAAATGTGGCCCTAATACTGCTGCACGATAACCCAAAGAAATAAAATACCCCCCACTTCCTCCCCTCCCCCACCATTCACAAAAGAAGAATTCAGGAATTCGGAGTCTAATTTGAGATGCCCCAAGCTCCCGGGAAATATGGGAAACACACAGTGGCAAGTACTGCAGCTGTTGTGTGCTACCTGTCCTTCAGTCAGTCTACAGGGCTGTCTTCTGGTGTGAGCAGAGGCTGCTGGGCTGTTCCAAGCTTGGATATGTTTTTGGAGGGTCACAAGGGTGTGGAGCCTTAAGATCCCACTCAGTATTTCCGTTTGCCTGAAAAAGCAGCTTGATGATGTGGAAACAGCATTTCCACCCTGTGATTGTTTCACGCAAGAGGCATCTTTGCCTATTCAAGCTGATTGAATCAGACTGAGACTTCAGACTCAATTGAGCTCTGGACGGGGGAAGCCACATGATGGACTAGTCTACGCTCAAAAATTTTGCCAGAACAGCTATACTGGCAAAACTCTCAGAGCATAGATGTGGTTATACCGGTATAAGTGTTTTGCGGGTATAGCTTATTCCTCTAGCCTCGGCTGCTTGTCCATAAAGAAAAATGGGGTATAGCCAAAAAGATCACATAGGAGACCCTAGATTTGGAGCAAAACAAAAGTGAAGAGTTGATGTATTAAATGCCTTTGTATTAGTGGGTTGCATATCTCACTGACCTCTCTGCTTACTAAGTAGGAGTGTAATCTATGTAGTGAAGTCCCACAGCTAACACAGGTAAAGGATTTAAGACCTCTTCTAAGCGCTGAATCTATGTTCTGACATGAGCTCACACATATGGCTGATGTGTTGCATCCGAAGAAGTGGGTTGTAGCCCACGAAAGCTTATGCTCTAATAAATTTGTTAGTCTCTAAGGTGCCACAAGTACTCCTGTTCTTTTTGCGGATACAGACTAACACGGCTGCTACTCTGAAACCTGTCATGAGACTGTGATTAATAACAACACTATATTTACTCTCTCTGTTTGCTGTTTTCATTCTTTTTGAACCTTGAACTGAGCAATCCAAACAGCCAGGTAAATATCTATGTGGAGGAGGGGGAGTCCTATTTTGTTTCTTGCATATCCTATGGTTATTTGGCAGTAATTCTACAACAC